AATCGTCTCACCCTCGGGCTGGCCTGACTTCACGCCACAGGAGCCCCCCTTCCACTGGCCGTTGCCCTAGAGCCCTCGCCCGCGAGTCCCGACCCTTTCACTGTCCTTGGAGACCCTACCCCTAGCCCTGCACTCACCCAGCTTTTACCCACCCGACACCTCCCATACTGACCCTATTCTGACCCTCCTGTCACCCAAACTGTCAAGTCCCTCCCCAGGGCCTCGCTTAAACCTCAGAACCTCTCCCACCTCAATACTTCTCCCTTTCCCGGAGACATACCCCTCCTTCCCCCTCTGGACCCTGCCCTGTTAGGGTAGACTCCTCAGTCCCCAAGGCTTCCCACCCCCCGTCATTCAGAGTCCTCCTCACAAAACCTTTCCACGCTTCCCCCAAATACCCTTCCAGAGCCTTCCCTGAATATCCACTTTGGTCACTTGGTTAAGCTGGCGTCGGCCAGGTTGTGCCACTGCAAAGTTACAATTTTTCCCTTTGTGATTAATTAGTTATTTGTGGGGAGAGACTTTGAGTGTGTAAATCTCCTGTTTGTGTTTAGGAGGAGGGAGAGCAGAAGAATTGCAAATCCGACCTGAAGGGACAGCAGGGGTTGGGGATGCACCAGGGTAGGTGGTCAACTGAACTGGCCTGGCTTCCAGTGTTGCTTGCAGCCCTGAACACCCTTCTCCTTGGACCTTCTAGGCCCTTCCTTTGTCTACCTTTCCCATCCTGCATCCTTTATCGACAGGACCTCTGCACCCAGTGCAGGTTGCTCTCATTCCAATCCCTTTTCACAGTCTGTTTTCTAGATGAAATCCTGGGCCTTCCTCCTTGACACAGCTAAGAGCAGACTGTGGAGTCAGATCTATCCAGCACTGCTACTTAGAAGCTGTGTGACCTTAGGACAATTACTCAACCTCTCGGTGTCACAGATTCTACAGCACAAAACCAGTAATAGCACTCACTTCACAGGGCTGCAAGGAGAATTAAACAAGGTAAAGCATGTGAAACACGTAGGATGGTGTTCAATATTAAGATACTATGTGTACAATATGATTATTCCCAGACCCAGGGCCTTTCTCTGATCATGCCTCCCTCCCTGAGACCACCACGCATCCATCATTTGGTTCCTTCCATCCTCCAAGCTTAACTAGGAGCCACGACCAACCCCTCCACCCCACCTTCCCAAGGGTGACTCCTTTTCCCTATTCAAGTTTCGCCTTTTTCTTTATTAGTAGTATTTTTTTTAGAAATAGAGTCTCACTATATTGCCCAGGCTGGAGTGCAGTGGCCTATTCACAGGAATGATCCCACTACTGATCCGCACGGGAGTTTTGACCTGCTGTTTGTCACCTGGCAACCTGGTGGTCCCCCAGCCCCAGGAGGTCATGATAGTTGATGCCAAACTTAGTGTGGACACCTGATCGGCATTATGCACTACAGCCCAGAACTCCTGGGCTTACACGATCCTCCCACCTCAGCCTCCTGAGGAGTTGGGACTACAGGCATGCCCCCAGCTCAAGTCTCACCTTAAAGATGACTTTCTCTACAGTTGATACTTCTCTATCTCAGCACCCTATCCACATCCTTCATAAAACTGCATATCTTGTCATTATTTGTTTCCTTATTGTCCCCTCCCTTGTAAAAACAGCACAAGAACAAGGACAGAGTGTGGGTGCTCGCCACTAGCTCGCCCAGCATTTGCCACAGTCAGAGACCTTCAGTGAATACAGTGTTACCCCACAAATGACTTAGGGATTACCAAGGGGAAACGAGGTCACCACCTTATCCGTGGTCCAAACTTCTCATCAGTAGGGAACCAACTAATCCTCTGATGTGATGCAACGAGAAGGGACACCTCCCCCATGAGGTACTCCTGCCAAAACATTTAACCTGAATCTAATAATAAGGGCGCCATCAGACAAATCCAAGCTGGGCGACATTCTGCCAAAGAACTAAGCTGGGTTCTTCAAAAATGTCAATGTCACTAGGAGAAAGAAAACCAAACGAAACCTTGAATTAGTGTTCTTGATTACTGAAGACCGAGAGACATAACTAGATGAAGTGTGTGATTCTGAATTAGAGTCTGGATTTTTTTTTTTAAGTAGAAAGGAAAGGAGGAAGGGAGGGAGAAAGAATACAGCTCATATTGGGTTGGTGCAAAACTTATTGAAATTCAATTGAAAGTAATGGCGAAAACCTCAATTACTTTTGCACCAACCTAATAGAAGGGTACTCCAGGGGAAATTTGAATATAGGATGTATATTACACAATGTTAATGTATATTACACAATGTTATATTGTATCAATGTTAAATTTTGTGAGTGTGATCATTGTATTTAGTTATGCAGGAGAATCCCGTAATTTTAGAAGTTGCATGCCAAGTGTGTAGAGATGAAGAACCAGTATTTGCAATTTAGTCTCAAATGGTTCTCCAGAAAAACGCGGGTTTCTGACAGCATAAGCATGCATAGAGTGGGGAGGAATTGGGGGAAATTTTTGATAATCAGTGAATGTAGTTCAAGAGTACATGAGCTTGCAACTTTTTGGTAGAATTTGAAATTTTTCAAAATAAAAACTAGAAAAAAAAAACATTAATGGAAAAAGTGGACTTTGGAATTTAAATCCTGAACCTGCAAACCTTTCTAAATCTCTTTCACTCGAGAAGACATAAATATCCTCAAGCTCTTAATGCAGCTTTAGGATTTGTTTCTGACAAGTCCCTATGAACTAGTCCAGACCAGAGATTCTTAATTCCAAGTCAAATTTCTTGAGTTCTGGGAACCCCTGACACAATGTGCAGAATTTGTGGGGGTGTGTGTGTGTGTGTGTGTGTGCATGTGTCTGTGCCGTGTGTGTGTCCGTTCCTTCCTTAGCGTACATCAGATTCTCAAAGGAGGCCATGACCCAAAAATGATTCCAAACCACTGGTTTGACTACTATGTCCAACCTCTGCTGGGGCCCCATTCCTCACCTCCACCCTCACCCACCTCTGACCCCACCCATCCTCTGTGCACCATCCTCTCATCCCTTACCACGTAGCCCACACCCATCTCACGTAACCTGCTCCCACACCTGCCTGAGGATTCACCCACACACCACTCTGGTGCAACACACTCCTGGATTTGGCTGACACCATATACTAACTCAGCCCTGAAACCTGCAGTCAGTCCACCCACGGGCAAATGGAATATTTCTGTGGTTTGTTGGGAGGCTGGGTGGGCACCCCATGGAATTGGCAGAGACCCCTGCCTCTCATTTCTGCCCACCCGCCATGAAACTGGCTTGGCTTGAGTTAAGATGGGCAATTGGAAATGGTACTCCTGCAACCCTCACTGAAGGAGTCTCACTTGGATGTGAAGAGGGATAGGCTGGTGACTCTGTGGGGGAGGCGCCAGGCAGGGAGGGTCCGTGAATGAGAAGCGACTTCACCTCATTACTCTGTGTGTGCAGTTTGAGGGTGAGTATAATTCAGTGGTGCAATAAAAGGGAATGAAAGAGGATATTTTGAAGCAAATAACCCAACACTTTCATACCAGCTCCAGTGCTCCCACATTCTATCCAAACACCAAAAA